AAAATTTATATTATTTTGTTAGTCTTTGGCGCTTCCTTCAAAAAATAACATTTAAAAAAAAAAATTATATATTTAAATAATCTTATAATTATATAAATGTCTGAAAAACAAATAAAATACAAAAATATTTTTATTATAATAATTTATTAGTTGCAAATATATTCAGATATTATTCTTATCGATATCGATATCGATAACGATATTCTCCCATGCAGCGGTAGCTCGTGATAATTGAATTTTTTCATTAGCTCGCCAGGTGATTCAACCGGCTCCCCACTTTGCACATAAATCTGTGCAGCGGTTAAATATAAATTATGCATGTTCATTACATTTTCATAAGAAAGCACTTCCAGCCACCCAGGCTGGCCACGAAACAACTGTCGCTGTGACAACCCATTGCCATTGCCATTGCCATTTTCACATTTCACATTTCCCATTTTTATTTTGTAATTATTATTTCGATTGCTGTGGCATAAGTGCTGAATTAAGAAATTATGTAATAGCAGTTGGAGCCAGATTAAATTTCAAGCCTGAGTGGCTGTGAGAAATGGGCATTGAGAAGCTTGGCAGATGGCAAATGAATGATTTAAGGGCAAACGCGTGTTCGGTGGCCATACAGAATATTTAAAATATATTCTTTCATTTTCATTATGCTTAACCAACAATTCATTTGCTCAAGTTTGCGAAAGGTTGTGGTGGCAAAGCCTCTTAGCTGTTGGGCAACAAAGATTCGAAGAGTATCGAAGGCAAACTTTAATCGTGTTGCATAACCGCGGGCCACACACACACACACACACAAACTGGTTAAGTGTGAGTTTCAGCCACGTTAACAGAGTGCATGCATTTTCTATAAAATGCAAGAATTGCATAAAATTTCAATAAACTGGCAACGACGTTGCATTCGACGAGACAACAGCGAGGGGGGCAGTGGGACAGGGCGACTGATGGAGAGGGTGGCAGAATTGGTTTGGCTTGAATTTTAACCGAGAGAGTGCGGCGTCAGTGAAAATGTAAAATTTATTGCCAGCTGAATTCTCATTTTGCCTCGAATTCGTACAACTTTTCCTCATTTGTTGCCAAAAACTTGGCATGAAAATGTTCTTTAAGATCAGCGCACTTTGCATAGAGTTCAGAATGAAGCAGCAGAGCTGCATTTTAAAGCGATTTCAACTGCATTTCATATGCAAATGTTTTTGTTTCTAGTCGCGCACGTGTTCAGGTTTTCCAAGTGCGAAAATTCACCTCAAGCTAAGACTAAGGCTAAGCAGCAGAAAATTCGTGAAAACTTAGTGTGCGCTTGAGCAACTTTTCTACACACTAACTGCAGATTGGTTTAAATAATGAAACGTTTGAGCAATATTAGATTCTAGAGATTTAAATTAGTATTAAGAAGTTGTTGGCGCCCTAATGCGATATTTTATTTATATAACTATATATATATTTCTATATTAACCATTTTTTTTAATGTTTTAAACAAAATTACATTTTGAGGCTTTTACATTTTAAAGTTTTTACAATTTGCATTCATGAAATTGAATTTTCCATTCGATTGTCATATAATTTCTGCAAATAACTTTGATATAAATCAACCTTCACCTTCGGTTAAGCTAAGTAGCTTATCTCTTCTCTTCCTCAGCCTACCTTAGCCCACACCAACTAATTCATATTGTCTGAGTGGCTCAACAAAGGGCGCAAAAAAAAAGAGAAAAACTAAAAAACTAGATTAAGCTGTTAATTCACATATTTTGCCAGCTTTTTGTGTTTGGCTTCCATTGCTTGTAAGCAGAAATGTTGTCGGCCGCACGCCTTAAAGTATGCCACGTATTTTTCTTTACTCAGCCAGCAAACATTTATTACCCACCCGCCCACAGGCCAGAGACAAATGGTTATGTTAAGCATCGTAAGAGCTGTTTCTCGTTTGTCAGCTTTGCAGCTTGCGTTTCTATCTCTTCCATTCTTTATGTGTGTGGCCTGTACACGTTGGGTAGGCGGTGAGAGTGTCTAGTTTCAAAATGTTTTGTTTTTATCTTAAAAGCACGAACGAACAGTTTCTTTAACTAGTCATGCCACATGTTTCAACC